GACAAGCCCGCATTGCCGGGTAATGTTCGGTCATTGTCTGTGCACGCAGACCCCGATTTAACGTCCAGCCAATTATCTAGAAGTTCCTTTCACAGGTCTTCCAGCAAAGCCAAAACAAGGTCAACAGTACTCTCAGACACCTAGCCTTTCCCAGCTTCTGGACTCACAGAGAGTCCTCAGCAGTCAGATTGCAACCTATACTCCAGCTCCACAGTCCATGAGATTTGCGGGTCTGGAATATAAGTCACCATCCTACGCAGTTGGTCACAGGCGACGGGCCAGGTCACTCCTGCCCCTAGCGGGCTCTGGTGTGTACACCGCACTGTCTATGCAAGCAGACCCCGATTTAAGATCCAGCCAATTATCCAGAAGTGCATTTCACAGGACTTCCAGCAAAACTAACCAAGGCCAACAGTACTTTCTGACACCTCACTTCTTCCAGCTCGTAGACTCACAAAGGTTAGGGCAGGGACAGTGCAAATTCCGTGCATCAGCATGCATGCAATCAATTTAGTCCTGGGGCGAGTTCTTTGAACGACCCGGCTTTCAAAAGAGGACCCTTACCAGTCCATCCTTGCAGAGTGCCGGTTTTCTGTGACCATAGCTTCGTAGGACAAAGACCTCGCGATGGAACCAAAAACCGAGGGGACCGCATGTGCAACAAGTGGATGGCTGTAAACTTAGTAGTGCTGAGGTCCAAGCCAAAGGTTGCGGTCAGAAAGCGCTGACTTTACGCATAAGGACCTGCAAGAGATCACGAGTGCTCACTTGATGAAGTTGAGGCGGGTCACGGACAATGTAGATGTCCCCTCTGTCCCTAACCATCGTCTGTAGAACAGGCCGAATATGCTCAGCCATCCGAGTTGGCTGCGGGTCCACATGAGGCGTTTGGTAAGTCACCGGTGGCCCTGAAGTGGACGCACTTGCCGCCGACGGCTGTTGCTCAGGCGGCGGTGAGCGTTTGGGCAGTTTAGGGGTGCGCTCCATGATCGTTTGGACATGTTCCATCAGGATCTGCAGCGCTTCTTTGATCTGCTGGGATATATCAGACTGCTCGTCGACCTGGTCAGTCAGACCAGTGCAAAGGCTTTCCACCCTGACGATATGATCCTCGCAGTTGTTGGCACTTTCCATAGTTGTTTTTACCATGTTCATCTCGGCCTCATTGTGCTGGTGGTTCCTGGAGAGGTAGTCAAGCATGTCTCTGTTGGCATCGTGTAGGTGCTTGCTTTGTGGTACCAGCACATTGATTCCACGAAAGTTCGCATTTGTCTGGCCTGCAAACGTCTTCTGTTCTCCATGCATGTTGTCCAACCTCTGCTTGAGTTCGGTGCGGACAACGTGCAGGTCTGTGTCGTGCTTCTTCGTCATGGTCTTGACCTCGTCCATTCCAGCTTGAAGCGTGGCCAGCTTCCCGTGTGTAGCTCGGTGCTCTGACTGAAGGTGTTGAAGACTTTCCCTGCCTTGCTTGAGTAACCCATCAAGCAACGACTCATGAACCGAGAGCTGGAACGTCTAACGGACTGAAACTCATCCTTTAGAGAGTTCATGTAGCTCATATCCGAGGCCTGAAGCTGGTTCTGCACGTCCGCAACAACTCCTTTAAGCTGCTTCGTCTCATGGGTACCCGACAACCCTTCAAGCTCTTATCCCCAGGCGCCGAGCTTGCCAGATGGGAGCTCTTCTTCGGACAACACAGGGATGCTTGCAAGACTTTCAAGGCGCTCTACGGACCGTGGCAAAGAAGGTTGAGTCGCTGCATGACCGCTTCGATGCCCTGGAAGCCCGTCCAAGCCCGGAACCTTCAGCTACTTCACCACCTCAACCTGAACTTGAACAAACTCTGTTGTGTGTGGATGCTAAACTGCTGGACCTCAACCGTGTGGTGAAACCGTGTGAAACTGCAGTCGCCAGGTGGCTCACACCACTGCACCGCAGCGTTTGACGTTCGCCAAACACGAGTTGATGGCCACCACGCGCCGGCTGCGCTCCTGGCTGGCGCATGCCAAAAAAGGCTTGATCTTGA